TGGTACTGTAGGTCAGTCGGTAGAGTACTGGCCCCTCCCTGGGTGCGACCCCAGCCGGTCAGGTCAGCGGCCGTGCCGGCTGCCGGTGTGGTCTGTGCCAACTCAATGGTTCCCACATTGGACGTCGCTTGGATATCGTTGACCAGGGTGATCACGGCGTAATCGTAATCGAACTTGCTCTCTTTATTCCACTGTTCATGCTCAAATATCGTGTCGATTGGGTTGTCAGTGGCCAATGCAGTCCTATCGAGACCCCCGTATTGGATCTTTAGGGTATCCTTTGTATAGCTATGCATACAATCAACACAAATGTATTTACATTTTATATGACGTTAGCGTTAGTATAGGAGTGTATATACCCTTCGACACAATGAGCGGCCGTAACCACCGATCGTTTGCCGGTGAGTGAACCGCCGCAGTTGTGACTCCACCCGAACCACCCGTTCACTTGAATGGACACCTGCCAGGGCGCCTGACCCGCGGTGGCCGGCACACCGCCCACTACCCGTCCGTTGGCGAGTGTGGTCGTCAGCTTAGCACTATCGACACCTACCAGTCCTACTACGAGGACTAAAGCTGTTATTGTTTTCATAGTGAGTGAATGAATGAAAACTTGCTTGGTGCTTTCTGTTTGCACTCTTACGAGAAATTATAAATTCTTATGCTATTTATACGAGAGTTTGAGGCATAAAAGTGTGAATGAAAATCGGGAGGAGCTTAATAACACAATTATGTCCTGTTTATTATCTAAATTAAATTATGTTCTAACTGTAGTGAATAATTAAATACATGTACAGTACTATACTATAGCTATCAGTTTTTATTAGTGAATATACTGTAATTTACAAAAGTTAAAAGATATATGTATAACCAAGAATATTCATTTTATGACAGATTTTTATGTAAATTAATATTTTAAATTTATGTTCTGTAATGCTTAATACAACATTGTTTACATAATTGTATGCTCAACATATTTTTACTTATTTTTCATAAAATTATTTATTAAACTTTAGATTCTGGAATTATTTTACAAATAATAATTATAATAGCCTTATAATACACTTGATAGATAACAGGGTTGGCTAATAAAATGTTCCTTTCTAAACCATAATTTAAAATTGCTGTTATTTAAGGTCATTTTAAATTAAAATACTATTTGTAACATTATCACATTTATAATTTGTTTGAAAAATTCGCAATCAATTCTATATAACCTAAATTAGTTAATAGAGTGTATTATTTATCAATTGAATAGGTTTTATACCAAATAAATTATATAACACTTATTTAAATGATAAAAATTTTTATTAGTTTAACTAATATAATAAAATTTTATTACATATTATATTTAATTCAATTAATTTTAGCATTTATTGAATCCTTGTGCTCAACCACGTGTACTGATTGGCAACATCGGCGTAGGCTGTGGGCCACTGGACTGTATTAGCCGGACATCCCCTGTAGACCCAGGAGACAATACCGACCAGTTTGCCACCAACAACAAGGGGTCCACCCGAATCACCCTGTAATCAAATATAGACATTAGAGAGTGTAATCATAAAAGTCACTCAAAATGGTCTTACATTGCAACCACTGGCCTTCGCGTTAGCCGCGCATATCATTCTGTCGGTGACTGTCTGTCCGGCCGGTTGCCATATTTTGTTGCACTCCTCCCGGGACACAATATTCATGGGGGTGTACTGTAGGTTCTCGGGTAAGTTGTTAGTACTGCCCGACGTCTTACCCCAACCGGTCAGGTCTGCGGGAGAATTGTTTGGCGGCGCTGTCTGTACCAACTCTATGGTCGATACGGTGGACGACTTGACGATATTATTGGTCAGAGTCAACACACAGTAGTCCCAGTCTATGGTCTGGGAGTTCCAGTTTGCATGGATGTCCACTTTGGAGATGGTAGACGATTGCTTGAGGGAAGTTCGGCCTAACCCGTCATATTTGATTGTCAACTGAGCTGCCGAATAACTATCATATCGATGGGACAGTCGTATAAAACATAAATATATTTATTAATGAAGTGTTTAAGGGTTGTATGAATTTGTGTGAATACATACCCCTCAACTGTGCCGTAACGGGCGTTACAATCGGGTGCCGCCACTATGGATAGCCTTTGGTACTGTAGGTCAGTCGGTAGAGTACTGGCCCCTCCCTGGGTGCGACCCCAGCCGGTCAGGTCAGCGGCCGTGCCGGCTGCCGGTGTGGTCTGTGCCAACTCAATGGTTCCCACATTGGACGTCGATTGGATATCGTTGACCAGGGTGATCACGGCGTAATCGTAATCGAACTTGCTCTCTTTATTCCACTGTTCATGCTCAAATATCGTGTCGATTGGGTTTTCAGTGGCCAATGCAGTCCTATCGAGACCCCCGTATTGGATCTTTAGGGTATCCTTTGTATAGCTATGCATACAATCAACACAAATGTATTCACATTTTATATGACGTTAGCGTTAGTATAGGAGTGTATATACCCTTCGACACAATGGGCGGCCGTAACCACCGATCGTTTGCCGGTGAGTGAACCGCCGCAGTTGTGACTCCACCCGAACCACCCGTTCACCTGAATGGACACCTGCCAGGGCGCCTGACCCGCGGTGGCCGGCACACCACCCACTACCCGTCCGTTGGCGAGTGTGGTCGTGAGCTTAGCACTATCGACACCTACCAGTCCTAATACGAGGACTAAAGCTGCTATTGTTTTCATAGTGAGTGAATGAATGCTAACTTGGTGCTTTCTGTTTGCACTCTTACGAGAAATTATAAATTCTTGTGCTATTTATACGAGAGTTTATGGCATAAAAGTGTGAATGAAAATCGGGAGGAGTTTAACAACACAATTATATCCTGTTTATTATCTAAATTAAATTATGTTCTAACTGTAGTGAATAATTAAATACATGTACAGTACTGTACTATAGTTATCAGCTTTTATTAGTGAAAATACTGTAATTTACAAAAGTTAAAATTAATATATATATATAACCAAGAATATTCATTTTATGACAGATTTTAATGTAAACTAATATTTAAAATTTATGTACTGTAATGCTTAATACAACATTGTTTACATAATTGTATGTTCAACATATTTTTACTTATTTTTCATAAAATTATTTACTAAACTTTAGATTCTGGAATTATTTTAGAAATAATAATTATAATAGACTTATAATACACTTCATAGATAACAGGGTTGGCTAATAAAATGTACCTTTCTAAACCATAATTTAAAATTGCTGTCATTTAATGTCATTTTAAATTAAAATACTATTTGTAACATTATCACATTTATAATTTGTTTGAAAAATCAATTCTATATAACTTAAATTAGTTAATAGAGTGTATTATTTATCAATTATAATATTATATTAATTACTAAATATGAACATTATTGAATAGGTTTTATACCAAATAAATTATATAACACTTATTTAAATGATAAAAAGTTTTATTAGTTTAACTAATATAATAAAATTTTATTACATATTAATATTTAATACAATTAATTTTAGCATTTATTGAATCCTTGAGCTCAACCACGCGTACTGATTGGCAACATCGGCGTAGGCTGTGGGCCACTGGACTGTATTAGCCGGACATCCCCTGTAGACCCAGGAGACAATACCCACCAGTTGGCCACCAACAACAAGGGGTCCACCAGAATCACCCTGTAATCAAAAATAGACATTAGAGAGTGTAATCATAAAAGTCACTCAAAATGGTCTTACATTGCAACCACTGGCCTTCGCGTTAGCCGCGCATATCATTCTGGCGGTGACTGTCTGTCCGGCCGGTTGCCATATTTTGTTGCACTCCACCTGGGACACAATATTCATGGGGGTGTACTGTAGCTTCTCGGGTAAGGTGTTAGTACTGCCCGACGTCTTACCCCAACCGGTCAGGTGTGCGGGAGAATTGTGTGCCGGCGCTGTCTGTACCAAATCTATGGTCGATACGGTGGACGACTTGACGATATTATTGGTCAGAGTCAGCACACAGTAGTCCCAGTCTATGGTCTGGGAGTTCCAGTTTGCATGGATGTCCACTTTGGAGATGGTAGACGATTGCTTGAGGGAAGTCCGGCCTAACCCGTCGTATTTGATTGTCAACTGAGCTGCCGAATAACTATCATATCGATGGGAAAGTCGTATAAAACATAAATATATTTATTAATGAAGTGTTTAAGGGTTGTATGAATTTGTGTGAATACATACCCCTCACAGCAATGGGCGGCTGTAATGACTGTTTTGGTGCCTACCAGTGAACCCCCGCATATGTGACTCCAGCCAAACGATCCCTGAGCGTTAAGGGAGGCCTGGAAGGGCGCCTGAGTGGCTGAGGCATCACTACCACCCACAACACGACTGCCGATCCGGCCTAAAGACTTGGGCCCATACTTGGGTGAGATCTCGATGAAGGCATTGGTGGCCAACGCACACAAACACAGCACCAGTACTACTGCCGACCCACTCATAGTCTATGTTATCCTTTAATATGACAATTGAATGCTCATAATATGCCTTCAATTTTCTTTTTATACGATTATTTTATTGTGTTTTAAATTGTGAGATGATTTTCGAGTAATTATGACATGGGTACAATTAATAGATAATAGAGTTAGTCCATAAAATGTGCCATTGAAAATATAATCATAAAGTATGCAATTAAAATTTTATGAATAGAGACTTAAAGGCGACATTGATGATTTTATAATTATAAAGTTAACATTAAACTATTTTATAAGATTAATTATTATAGTTACAAAAACTTATTACTGGGTTAAAATTTTTATATGTAATAATATGTTTTGATTTCTAAGTGATAAATATACATCCTGATGTGAATGATAACATTTTATAATATACGGTAAAGAATGGTTTAATTGCAAAATGAAAAATAATACAATTTTTATTAATAAGAATAAGCAATCTAATGTTAAAGGTAACTTGCACTTTAAGTTTATCCAGAGATTTTTACTTCCATGATATTGAATAATAATAATAATACACTATGCATAAAATTTTGTTTGAAATTACAAAAACAAAATGCTCGTTTACGACAATTTTATTATGTTTAGACAATTAATAATTTTAGTTTCTAAAGTTTATTATATTGTAATTAAATAGTTAAAGTAAATTATTAAATAATAATTCGTGTAGTGTGCTAAACATTTGGTTATCTAATACTTATCACAACTTGTGATTTTTATAATAACTGTTATTATAAATCTTTATTAAATTGAAATTATCTGATAATAAAATGAGTCCACGTTTATCATCCAGAAATATTTATTATTTTTAATTACCAATTCATAAATGCTTACAAAATAATAACTCAAAAACAATTGAATATTCGGTGAATGATAGGAATGCTCGTCAAAAGTGAAACAAAAATTATAACAAAATAACAATTATTTTCCAAAACAATTTTGATAACATTTAAAATTAATTTATATTCAATGAAAAAGTATGTTTCCAAGAGTCGTGTCCATCGGCCGTACATTAAGTATATTATAATTATGATAATTAGATATTTCGAGACAACCAGGCATTCTGGTTGGCCACATCCGCATAGACTGTCGGCCTAACAGTGGTGTCCGCCGGACATCCATTCGCACCCCACGAGACAATACCGACCAATTTGCCACCAGATACTAACGGTCCACCAGAGTCACCCTGGTGTTCAAGTAATGAATGGACACATTAAACATACATGTTAGCCATATTTTATATGGAATATACGGAGGGAATGGTTAACTAGCTAATGAATGTTAGGTTAGTTGAGTTTAATAGTGATTACATGAGGTTATCAGGGAGGGGACAGGGAGGGCACGTACGTTGCAACCGCTGGCGGCTTTGTTCTCAGCGCAGATCATTCTGGGGGTAACGGTGTTCACGTCAGACCACTTGCCGTTGCATCGACTCTGCGACACGATTGTGAAGGTGGCGTACTGTAGGGCAGTGGGCAGTGCACTGGAACTGCCCGATGTCTTTCCCCAACCGGTCAACTGGGCAGCGGCTCCGTCAGCCGGGGCTGCGGTGGCCAATGGGATGGTCGACACGCCATTACCAGTCTGGGCGGCTGAGGCCAACTTCAGTAGACAGTAGTCGTAGTCAATAGTACTGGAGCTGTATTGGCCGTGCTTTTCGACGGTCGCCACGTTTATCTGTTGGGACAGTTTGGTGCGGTCTAAGCCACCCAAGTGCACGAACAGGGAGCTCGCAGCCGACCTACCCGTCCATCACATATATTTCATAATAAAGTATATTAGATATATTATATAAAACTATTCTATGTAACAAGTACGGTAATAAATTATAATCTATAGCATATATTGTATTGTATTGTATCTATTGTATTGTATCTATTGACCTGATCAGTTAATTTATAAATTATGCTTATTTTCTTGAATAACTTTCAAATTAGCTGAACTGCATTTTAAATATTTATATAATTATATTATTTAAAAATATTTCTCCTAAATATGATACACAAAATATAACATTACTATAATAAGTACAACATTTCAACACATTTCACCTCTGCTCTAACAAATGCATTCAAATGTAATATTAAATAAGAGTTTATAAATATTATTTGAAGTTCCACACACACAGAAAATTTTAAAAATATACAAACTAAATATAACAGCAAGGTATCTTAAACATAGCGATTAATAAGAGCTAACTGACCCGTCACAGCAATGAGCCGCAGTGATGACATAGTTGGCGTCCCTCAGCGATCCGCCGCATATGTGACTCTTACCGAAGATGCCCTGGG